CGCTAAGCTTCCTCACCCCTACTCTGTGTATGCTGTCATCTGTCCTCAAGTACACCTGTGCCTTGCCCTCCAAGTGGGCAGTTATAAGTCATAAAAGCAGATGGACAGCTCAACTTGGGTCATCCAAAGCAGCTAGGAGACATCAAAAGCCTCTTCAGGAGTCACAGAGCCTCTCTGTGTTGCCTGAGAACTTTCTGCCAGGGACTCAACTCCTTGCCCATTGTTCCCAAGATCCCCTCTCTCCCCTCTGCCACCTCTTGCTACTTCCTCCTCTGGCTCCCAACAGAACACTCGGCATCCCTGACTCTTCCATTACCCTTAAGCAATGAAATAAGAACAGCCAATTCCTGCTGAAGAGAAGTCTTCAAATTGTGCTCGCTGGCACTGTTTGAGTGGTTCTTCAATTGCTACAGAAGAATTTTGTGCTAAAAATACAGTTTGGTTGCTATCAGCCTCGTAACAGTAAATGGACCTGCACATTCAAATACATTCTATGGTGCACTGTAACACATTGAATGAGTGCCTCCAGCTTAAGTGTGTTTGCATAGACTTGGAATGAGGTCAGGAGAGATCTCAAACTTCAGAGTTGAAATGTGTCTTCAACCAGAGCCGCCAGGTTTGAGCTCTTTCTTGAGCATCTTTATGTTGTTGTTTCAGGATTACACATGGTCTGTAGAACTGCACAGTCAAGTGCACACCCAAGCTTTCAATAATGAGAGGCTGCATCACCCAAGAGTGGGTAAGTGTGGGGCTTCCTGTCCGACTGGCATTTGTAACAAGAGGAATGCAAGCACTGATTTGATATTATTCGTGATGCCAACTGGAGCTTTCTTCTAGTCCTCTCCAAATGCCCAGATCAACAGAGCTGAAGACACCCTGTGTCTGCCAGGTACACGGTGGAAAATCTGCTACACCTATATCATCTTGTTGAAATGATTTAGGATTCTTTAATTCTTTTCTTTTTAATTTTTTTCTTTTTCTATATTAATGTGTGTACATGTGCACGTGGAGGACCGAGGTTGATGTCAGGAATTGTTCTTGACTGCTCTTCCATCTTATTCATTGAAGCAGGTCTCTCAATCAAACCCAGAGCTCCTCATATGGCTATGCAGCCTGCCCAGGGTGGGGGTGGGGTCCTCTGTCTTCACCTTCCAAGGATGGAACTGCAGGTGAATTGCCATGGCCATCCAACATTTATGTGGGTTCTGGGAATCCCACATATCCCATGCTTGCAAGGCAAACGTTTTAACTACTGATCTACCTCCCTAGTCCCCTAATTTTAATCTTGTGTGTGTGTGTGTTTTGTGTGTGTGTGTGTGTCTAGGCCTGAAATTGAGTGTCAAGCGTCTTTCTTGATCACTCTCCACTTTATTTGGGTCTCTCACTAAACCCAGATCTCATTGAGTCTGGCTAATCTAGCTAGCTTGCCCAGGGGATCCCGTTTCTGCCTCTGGAAATGGGCTTTCTGCTGGGCTTTCAGGTGGCCGCTGTTCTTCCCCAGCTTTTTACATGGGTGCTAGGGATCCAAACTACGGTCCTCACATTTTCAGGGCAACTGCTTTAGCTACTAAGTCATCTTCCCAGCCCTGGATCCTTAATTCTTTTACAATATTATTTATTTATTTATTTATTTATTCATTTATTTTTAATGTGTGTTTTTTGTGTGCATGTATGTAATCATGCCCATTCATGCAATGCCTGCAGAGATGAGAAGAGGGCTTGAATCCCCTGGAACTGGAGTTATGGATGGTTGTGATCTGCCATGTGGGTGCTGGGAACCCAATCTGGGTCCTCTGGAAATGCAGTCAGTGCTCTTAATCACTGAGCTAACTCTCTCGCCCCAGTGTTATTAATTCTTAATCCTGGCCAAGCCAACCAAGAGATGAGGGAATATGGATGCTGCAGCTGGCAGAACGCCTCGGACAGAGGTCAGCACACAATCTGTAAGAGGCATATGGTCTGTAGATGTTCTGTCATTCTGGCTTGAGGGCAGATAATCTCAAGCAGCCAAAGGGAGCAGGTCAATGAACAGCACTGTGTGTTTCAATAAAACTTTATTTATAAAATCTAGTGGCATCCTAGGTCTAAAAGTTCAGATTCAAGGTTTTCAATGCATCAGAGGACAGTTACTACTCTATGGGTGAATTTTTATATCAAATACATGCTAAAGAATGGAACTTAGAAAAGCTGCAATTAAACTGTCACTTTAACCTGGCTTACATATCGGCATTCCATACAAGAGTCTATCTTTTAAATGATTTCTAAAACAATGAAAGTTTGAAAACTACTAGCAGTGATGTTTCCTGGGAAAATACTTCCTGACTCATTGTCTCATTAGTTTTGGCCTATAGCCACTCATTCAGAAATCACCTTACTCTGGAGACAGTCCTGGTTTAGGTCCCTCTTGAAGAGGAGCCCCAACTCCCTGTTTCCTTGCCCTCAAATGACTCCAAAACTCCGCCCAGAGCAGAAGCTTCCTGAGAGCCTCAGGTGGTGCTACTGGGCTGCCCCATCCCTAGTATGGTGGAGGGTATTCTGTTGCATACCTGTCTGCCTGGGCTCCCACTCTGCATCTCCATGGATGCTACATAGCCCAGCCCCATCCTCAGTAAACCCAGGCATGCCCAAGATCTGGATCCCCCAGCAACCCTGAGTCAGCACCCCATTAATCATGATGTTTTCTTCCCCAGGGAGAGCTGGGGAAGGGGTGGAGCTTGATTTCTGGCTGGAGCTCAGGGCTCATTTCCTGCTGGGCAGGGCTCCCCTCTCCTAGATTGCCCTGCAGCTGGCGGGGAGCCCACGTGGACCACAAAGAGTTTGGGCATGAAGCAGGAGAGGTCAAATGACCGGTGTGGGAGAACCCTGGGCAGTTCCTCCAAGCTCTGCCTGCCTTCCTCAGAGGATTCTAGTTCTGGCTGTTCAAGAATCTAATGTTCATCTTGTGCAATGAATCCAGACCCCTGAAACTGCTAAAGGAGAACCGCCCCCCTCCATGCATACAGTTAACTGCATATGCACAGGTGGAACAAATGCTAAAATGATGTACCAGGAGGCTAAGGAATGGGGACCATTCATGATGGTGCTGTTGATTCTGACTAAAATGGAGCTATTCCTAGAGGAGGAGTTAATGAAGCAATCACTGCCTTTCTTCAGGAAGCATTCCAGTGGAAAGGAAATAAAATGCTAGTTCTTTTGTAGCCAAAGGTTCTGTCCTTTACTAGCTGTGTGACTGTCTTGAAACTATTGAACCTCTCTGTGCTCAGTTTCTTTACCTGTAGAAAACTGACACCAGACTAGCCTCATTAGGGTTTTCACAGGTCCTAGACTCAAGCATCTGTGAAGTGCCAGGCTTTGCATACAGGGAGGACTGGTCAGTTGACTTTGCCTTGACTCTAGGATCCTGTGCTGAGACCAGGTAGTAGAGCATAGTAGGCATGTCACAGGTAGATGAGTTGTCTGTGCAGTGGTGGAGCACAATGGGAAGGCAGCTCCCAGATGGGAGCTCTTTATTATAATGAGGCCTCATCTGTATGTTCACAGCGCCCGTCTGGGCAGGTATCACTCTATCCGGCTTTGTAAGAGAAAACTGAGGTTGAGGGAAGCAGAGAAATTTGCCCCTGAAATCAGTAATTGCTGCATAAAACCAGGGATTGCCAGAGCTGGGATTTGATCTCAGGGAAAGCCTATACTATAAGATCATTGCAGACATCTCTCAAAATGAGTCTGGCTGCCCAGTCCTTCCCAGGGGATACTTCCCCTATCTCCTGAACTCTGGTCAGGCCAGACCTGCTGGGCCAGGTATGCTGCCAAGCTGTGGGCAGAGTCCCAGGATCAGCCACCCACATCCACGAAGCCATAGCAGTGCTGTCTCTGAGGTGGCTGCAGCCCAGCCCACCTCTCTGCGTGGTGCTCTCATAAGAAGAGTCCCTGTTCACAGAAGGCCAGGTGGGAAATCACAGCTTCTCATACCTTGGACTGAGCCCATACCTCTATGATGCTGCCCATAGACCCAAATATAAGACAGGTGGAGCATGCCCAGAGCCCCTGGAAGAAGGCCCCTAGTATCCAGACCTTGGATGTATCAGAATCCAGACACAGTGGGTATGAAGGCACACATTTGTAATCTTAGCACTGGGGAGGCTGAGGCAGGAGGACCGTGAGTTCAAGGCTAGCCTGGGCTATAGAATGAGACACTGTCTCAAAAGAAAGGTCTCCAAATACCCATTTCTATGTCCCCAATGTCTGAGCCAGACAACATGGGCATACTGGAGAATCCAGTTTTCCTTCCTTCCTCTTTAAAACCAAGCACTCTCTCCTTCAACCCTATCAGCTTCTTGGGTGATGCTGACACATTTTATACCAGACAAAACACCCTAGAACTTGATTCTGATCCAAAGAACTGCCAACGTCATACACCCAACCCATACCACAGCTTGTATACCCAGTGCAAACTCCAGCAGATACCCGAGGAGCTAGATACACATCTAAGCACATATGGGGGCCCAGAGCCTTCACAGGCCCATCCAATCAACAACACTGAAGCTGGGATCTTGGCACTAGAATTTCTGGAACTCTCCAGGTAATCCTCATGAGAGGCCACAAATGCTTAGCTTCCAACTGTGGTTTTCAAAGCCAACATGCTCTCTGATCGGGCAAGGCAGGGAGATAGGGTGGGGGCAGAGCAGTTCTGAAAAGCAGGAGGATACATCAGAGGTCTGGGTCTTTGAACCCTGTATCCTTTACCAGAGACGAGGTGGAAAATGAGGTATTGGTAGGCGGGCAAGGTGGCACTTCCAGAAGACAGTGTGGGGAGCAGAGGCAGAGCCCTGGTATTTCTGACCAAGGCATCCCAGGATTTCTAGAATAGTTTTGGCAGAGGTCGAGGAGGGTAAGGACAGGCAATGGCAGTCACTGTCATAACAGAATATTTTAAGAAGAACACGCAAATCCTGTTGACAAATGGCAGCCAGCAAGCACAGCCAGCACCAGGCGCATCTTACCTGTGCTGCAGACACCACTTCCGATGACCAAAGCTGAAACGCTGCTCTCTCTGGAAGCCAGCGTTCATGTCCACTCCTGCTGCAGCACCTCTGCTCACCCACTGCTCCTCCCTATGGAGGCGACAGCTTGCCTGGCCAGTGGCTCTTGGGGCTCCTCCATGAGCTACTCCGAGGTGGCTGGGTTTGTGCCTCTGATCCTGCATGGAGGAAGTTGGAAGCCATGGTCAGAGTTTTCTTGGTCAACTGTAGATTCAGAACAACTCCTCATCTCCCTCCAAGCTGCTTTTCTTGGTGCGAAGCCCAACCTCATGTCCCTCATGGAGATGGCAGGTGGGATGGTCTTGGGACACACTCTACCCTCCCTTGCGCTACACTGAACTTCTCCAAGTCTCATTTTTCACCCATCATGTGGGCAGAGTTCTTGACGGTGCTCAAAGTTTCAGGATGTCTGAAGTACAGTGGTTCTATGACAGGTCAAGAGATCCTCTCAGGCCCGAGTGAACCGGGAAAGCCCTTTAAACGTAGGGTTTTTGCTAGCTGGTTCCAGATAAGGAAGTCAGGAAGATCGGCTCAGTCAGCTGCTATGAGCCCTTGCTGGCTTAAGGGAAGAAGGGCCACATGGGAAGGGCCTGAAGGCAGCTGCCAGCAATCCAGAGTGACCACCCAGCTGACAACCAGCAAGGAAGAAGAATGTCAGTCCTACAACTGCAGAGAATCAGGTTAAGCCAACACAGAATTGAGCCTGGAAAAGCAGAACCTTCCTCAGAGCTGAGTTGAGACCTCAGCTTCCCAACATCCATGTCAGCCTGGGCAGAGTGTAGGTGCTTGGTACTGACTGGGCACCTATAGAAGTATGCTGACATCTGGTGTGGTATTAAACTCAAGGGGGTCTGCTAACCAGGAAGAGAAAACTAGCACAACTTGAAACAGTGTCTGGTCTTCAGACATGGTTGTAAGGACTGAATTCAATGAGAGACATAAGAGCACAATGTCATCAAATAAAACTGAGTGCTCAGGCCGAGAGAAGCCTGGGGCAGGGTGGGAGCAAATGGATAGGTGAGCAAGCTTCGGTGCTCAATCACTGGCTTAACAGGCTGTCGTGAGGGTCAAATGAGAAACTGCAGAGGAAAGCACTTCCTAAACCAGAAAGCCCGAGATGTCTAGCCGTGTACAGCACAGCATGTCCTAGCCACGCCATGCTCTCTGGAATATCTGGTTTATCTGCTTCCTGTGGTGTGTTGTGGTCTGAGAATGTGGTCTCTAGGGCCAGGATACCCAGGGTCAAGTCCAGGTCCTTCTCCTCATGACCTCTGTGGCTCTGGGAAGTCACTGTGTGTGAAAAGGAGGCTGAGAATGGTGAGCGCCTTCCGGACTTTAATGAGTCACTGTGCATAAAGGGCCAGAACAATGCCTGGCACGTGGCACGACCCATATAATTGCCATGGACTTTGTCCCATAGTGAAGCCTAGTGATCTGCAGTAACCCGCACATGGGCCTGGGGCACTGTCCCCTGCTCATCCTGAGCACCATGCTTTGTATGAATCCAGTCCTTGACAACCTTATTCTGCATGGCATATTGCAGAACACAGAGGCCACCCAAGGTTCTCCCACCATACCTGCCACTATTCACCTCCCCAGAGTGGCATCACACCACCACAGTGGCGAGGCTAGATTTGCTATGTGGTTCCCAGTGGTCCTTTCCTGCGACTGTCACTGGAGCCATCCAGATGTTTCACAGCTCTGCCATTTCCCATCAATGCCAAGCTAACTGTATGCCTCCCAATCCATCACAAGCATTAATGAAAAATGGGGTGCTCTGTTCTTTTCACTAATATCCTGGAATATGCTGTTCTTTGACACACAGAACAGTTTCCCACCTCTGAGAGCCTTTGCTTAGGCAGTGTCAGAATGTGCACCTCTCCCCACAACATGTCTACCTGGCCCCATGCTCAGACCAATCAGTCAGTTCCCATAAAGCTGGGCATGAGTTCCACTTCCAATGAGACCCTATGCCCATTTGCCACACTTCTCTTGAGATGAGTGTCTACTGTGCAGAGACACCATGAGCCAAGAGCCCCTCCAGATGGCATGATGCTCACTCAGGTAATGTCCCTCTGAATCACATGCTCATAGCAGGCATCTTACACACAGCCATTGTGAGATAGTTCTCTTTAGAACCCAATGTGTTTGTTTCATTCACTTAACAGATGTGCATCTAGTGACCATGTTGGGTCAAGCCGGGTGGTAGGTGCCAAGGACAGAAGATGGCCAAGATTTGGTCTCTATTTTCAAAGGGACCACATTGAAATCAATTCTGATGGTGGCTGAATGTGTCTGAGAGAGAAATGGGAGAGTATTTCAAACAGATCATCCCCAAATGGGAGGTTCACACTTGGGCAGCAATGACTGAGGAAGGAATCAGCAGGTGTGAGGACATGAGGTTTGACAGGGGAGTAGCAAGACTTGGGTTGGCAGTGGAGTGAGATCATGGACCAGTTTCGATTAACGTGCTTGGGATGAGATGTGTGACTCAAGGGGAAGATGGGACAGCAGAAGCAGGGAACCATCATCATCCCATCACTGGCCACTCTGAGTCTTCCTTGGTAAAAGGTCAGAGCTGTCCGGCCACACCTATATCCTGGTCATCTGAAGATGTCACCCCACTCCCAAGGGGCCCATTGGTATGCTTCTTCTTTCCAAATACCACTGAAATAGAAAGAGAAATGTGCAAATAAGAAAACCACAGCAGCATGAGCTGGCCAGAAAGTCCGAGGAATCAGAGGAATGGGAGGAACAGAAATCCTGATCACAGCCCACTAGTCGCCCAGGCATGGGAGGCCCCTCCTGTCAAAGCCCAGGAAAACAGCTCACACCAGGGACAAATGTCTGGGGATAAAGAGACCAGTGTAAAAGGGAGGGAAGAACTGAGAACTGAGGTCACCCACCTCTGCCCCTTAAGTCTTCAGCTGACCACTCTGTGCAGGGCAGACAGCATGAGGGTCATTACAGAAACTTCCTGAAGAATCCATCCTCTCTTCCTCAGCAGATTATACCCTAAGCTTTGGTGACTCCATTACCTTGTCTGAAAACTCCCTGCTTTGGTATTTCCATCAGTTTCAGACTGTTGTGTGACAGTCCTCACACAGTCCTGAGCAAGCTCCCATAGTGGCATCCCCAGGCAAAGACAACCTCCAGTCCCCAGCAAAGCCAACCTTGCCTTCTCCTCCCAGATGTACCAGGGCCCTGTGGAGTCTCTGTTCTTCTTTCCCTGGTGAGTGGGCACCTCAGATTCCATTAACCAACATGTTGTTTTGAGATTTGGAGAGCTGACATTTGAAAGTCTCTACAAAAATGTTGAGAACCACAATGGCATTTGTCCTGGTTTGCTCTCTGTTATTGTGATAATAAACACCATGACCAAAAGCAACTTGGAGACAGTAGGATTTATTTCATCTTGTTCTTCTAGGTCACAATCAGTCATTGAGGCAAGTGTGTCAGGAAATCAAGGCAGGAATCTGAAGGCAGGAATATAGAGCAGAAACCGTGGAAGAACACTGCTTTCTGTCTCATGCTCAGTTACCTTTATTATACAGGTACTCACCTGCTAGTGATGGTGCCACCCACAGTGGGCTGGACCCTCTCACATCAATCAACCAAGACAATCTCTCAGACATGGCCACAGGTCAGTCTGATCTGGGAAATTCCTCAGTTGAGGTTCCCTCCTCCCAGGTGGATCTAGGTTGTGCCAATTCTATAATAAATGCTAACTAGCACAACATTGGATTTGAAATCTCCAACACTGACAACTAGTGGGCAATAGAGAGAAGACCTTGAGCCTTGAGGGAAAAGAGTTAAAACCCTGAAATCCATTGCTCAGCCAAGGTTCAGACAGAAAGAGAGAAGTACTAAAATAGGATGCCACCCACCTATGTATTCTTAAAAAGTTACTCAAGAAATTACTCCAGCAAAACAAAAACTGTAGCAGAGCAACTCATTCAAGAAAGGACAAGAAACGGCAAGGGGCAACACAAGCAGAGAGTGTGGGGCATCATCGAGACAGAATCCACCAGGATGGGGCCATCTTGCTGGGATTTAGATACTTCTGACTTCTTGACATGAATACAGAAATCTACTTTATTTAAGGGCAAAATAAGACACAGACTATTTAAACCACAATGGGTAAGAAAAACAAAGAAAATTCAATCAATTTAGGAGAATTAGGAAAGTAAAGGTTAATTAGGAAGGAAAAAAAAGGTTAAGAAACAAAAGATGTAAGGTAAGATGGCAAAAGTAAGCCAAGCATATCAATGAATTCATAACATGAATAAATTCAATTACCTCATTATAAGTTAAGAGACCAGGACAGGTTAAAGAAAAAGGAAAATCCAGCCATCTATCATTTGGAAATAATACACTTAACCTGACAAAGAAAGGGGAAAATCCAAGAAAAAGGGGAAAAAATGGTATAACAGACAAAGGGCAACAAAAATAGTAGTGAAAAGTCACGATTAAGACAAAATGAGAAACGCCGAATAGGTAGAAGCGGCACATTCTGTGCGGCCTGGGCTTCTTTCCAGAAGAAAACACAAAGCACACGAAGTGTGACCTTCACCATCGTCAAAAACGAATGAGACGGTAGAAATTTGGAACCACAGGCTAAGGGGGGCATGGTAGTGCACACACATCTGCAGTCCCAGCCCTGGGAAGCCAAGGCAAGGGCATTTCGAGTTTGAGGCCTGCCCTGGCTACATAGTGGGGACTTGTCTCAAAAACAAAACAAAATAAAACAAAGCAAAGAGCCACAGGGAAGAAGGGGAAGGAAGAGACGGCCTGTGTATCACTAACCAGTGCGAAGGTGACACAGCCTCCGGAGAAGACTGGGGAAGATGCAGAGATGAGTGTGTGTGCTTCACTTTATACAGACGCAAGACACAGATAAAGCAGATCTTTTCCTCAAACATTCCTGCACTAGACTTCAAGAAAACCTACAGTTTCAAAGCATACAAGTTGTGTAGACCCTGGCTGCAGTTCTCAGTGGAATAGAATAAGCAATCGACAAACAGCAAAAACGAAAACTAAGGAAGTGGAACACACACCAGTGCTAAACGCTTCTGTAAAGGACTCAAAGGGAAGAGCAAGTCTGAACTCTTAGGGTAATTGTAGAGAACCCTCCATGTCAAAAGCTGTGGTGCACAAC